CATGTTGTGGCATGTAAAATGAAATTGAAATGAAATGGGGTTTAACGTCCTACTTTTCTGCAATAACCGGGATAATTAAGACCTGCATGCTCCATGCACTGTGTTGTCATGGAAATTTTGCCATGCGGTCAGCAACCACACCTATTTCGAATTCCAATTGTTTTTCGGGGAGGGGGGAGGGGTCTGAATATACTTGGACCCCCCCACCAAAATTTACATAGTAGGCCCTAACTCCTATTTATTTGCAACAATTATTAGGGAGAGAGAGAGAGAAATGGGGTTTAACGTGCACTCGACACAAACTAGGTCATTTCGGGACTAACATATAGTTTCTAATTTTATTTCAATAATTCGCTTGCGCGTAGGGGTCTTTAGCAGTGGGAAGAAACCGGAGGACCCGGAGAAAACACACGGGGTTGGACAGGCGACCCTACTCCTTGTCACGTACAACCGGGGATTTGAAATCACGCCAGTTGACTCAATGACAGGCCTTATGATACAGCACGCACGTGCTAACCATTCGGCCATCCAACCCCTTACAATTATTAGGATTAGTGAAGGTTCCCTCTGTAAAAAACCTATACATATCCCAATATGTTGGTGTGATGTCTTAGTTTAACCCGGTAAAATATGCCAAAACAGTGTTTACAGAAGACTGCTGAAACTTTAAAAAAAAAATTTATGGGGTGCCCCCCCCCCCCAGTGGGAGGGTGACACCCTCCCACACTCTCCCTAAATCCGGCATCACATATTGTCAACATTATATATAATTTCATTTGCGCCCCCCCCCCCCCCCCTGAAAAAAAATATTTCACGGCTACGCCTCTGGCAAGCCAACGTGCGTTGTTCGACGCATCTTAACAACTCTGTCCCTACACGACAAGGGGAGACAACGCTGAAAATCCCCGAGGAACCTTCACGGCCAACATCAAAGGGATCGAACCCCGATCCTTCTGTGTGATGCAGCGCCTTGCCCACCAAGGCTCCCGGGATTTACGTCCTATTTTTCTGCACCAAAACGGGCTTATGAAGACGGTCATACGTCATGCAGTGTTCTCTGAGGGGAAAGTTTGTCCGAACTCGCAAGAGAGGACACTGCAGCTATTATAATACAGAGTCAGAGCGAGAAATGGGGTTTAACGTCCACTCGACGCAAACTAGGTCATTTCGGAACTAACATATGGTTTAATTTTATTTCAATAATTGGCTTGTGCGTAGGTGTCTTTAGTAGTGGAAGGAAATCGGAGGAACCGGAGACAACCCAGGGTGTTAGACAGGCGACCCTATACTCTTTGTCATGTACAACCGGGGAATCGAAACCACACAAGTTGACTCAATTCGGCCATCCGACCACCCACCCCCACCTCCACCCCCAATTATAATACAGAACAAATATCAATGTAACTTCAGTACAGCCGAGTGACTACAACACGATGTATGTTGATGCTGGTTCATCAAGTGTAATCGACTGGTGTAAGATGACATAACAGCCAGAAATAAACCCAACTAAAAACAAACTATATACGCTATGCACCTTGTCTGTTAAATTACATTATAATGTAGATTTTGTCTAGAAATGTACTCAATTTATATCTCGTATCAGAGTATTTATACTTTATTCTTCGCAACTGTTATGTTTTTAAAAAGTGTGTGTGGGTGTGTGGGGGGGGGGGTGAATGGCCGAATGATTAGCGAGTGTGCGTTGCATCATAAGGTCTGTCGAGAAAGTTCATTGGGATTTTCCGGTGTGGTCTCCCGTTTGACAGTGGTGCAGGACAGAGGGCCTAAATAGGACAACTGTTCCTTGGGAGTTGGAATTCGATATAAAGAGTCTCCATAACACCAGTCGGAGCAGAACAGTGGAGCATTAAACCCCATTTCATTTCATTTCTGATTGGAATTGCTTCAAGTACACGGTTGGTCTCGGTTTTTCATTCCATCCGAACGACTAGACAGCTGTCCTTGTCAGGCCCTCCGTCCTGCATCACTGACAAGGGAGGGAACCATGCCGGAAAATCTGGATGAACTTTCTCGGCCAATGCAGGGATCGAACACCCGACCTCCAGCCACTTGTTAGTGGTGCAGGACAGAGGCCTGACAAGGACCGCTGTCTAGTCGTTCGGATGGGACGAAAAACCGAGGTCCCGTTTATACATTTGCGTGCGCGTAAAAGATCCCTTGACAGCTGGAATTCGATATAAGAGTAGACCGTAGTACCGCTGCCCGGGCAAAATTTCCCTCATAGCACACTGCATGACGTGTGCCCGTCTTCATTAGCCCAGTCAGCAGAACAGCAGGGCGTTAAACACCATTTCATTTACGTATACGGCGGATTGTGAGGTAAGCTTTAACCGTGTCTTCACTTTGAAAATGACAGTTGTCCTCGGTAAAACGATGATAATTTATAGCGAAATGTTCTCTATTTGTAAAACCGACTGACAGAATATTTATGAAGAGTGGTGAAATCGATATAATTAGGGATTAGCCGTTGAAGAAAACCTTGAATCAAAACAACCAAAATGTCACATCATTATAATAGTAACTTGTAATTTTTACTCGTATATTTCAGCTACAGGGTAAACACGGTAATACATATTAATAATGAACGTTAATCCATGTAGAACTAAACGAGAGGCTCAATTATTTCTTTACAGCAAAATCGATATCATAATCAACTACAACACACGCAAATAACAAATATTAAAGCATTTATGTTATTTTTGAAGACGTTTTTTTCTGTTTTCTGAAGATGAATTAGAAATCTAGCGAATAGTTTTATGAATGTAATTATCCTTCCATATTCTAAACCTTCTTCACTAAGGCAAGTTTTTATGCATATTAAGGCGAAATTTTTAATATTATATGTCACTGAGAGATATTTGTTTATAATCATTATGAATATCGGGCTCATATTTTTTTGAAATAAAAGTGAACCGCGAATGCCGCGTGACCACTGAGCACGTGCCGACTAGTGTTGTCGGACTGTTCATCAATCAAATTTCGAAAAGACGTCATTGCTTCTCCTTTGTCGGACAAGAGTCAGTCTGATTAAAACACAGATCTATATTTCGTTTTGTTTTTCTATACTTTCGATGGCCTACACTACGTAAAGATCTGACAAGTTGTACTCGAAGGTCGTGTCAGGGGTAGTGCGAGCGGCTTTTGACTCTATGACGTCAGACATGGATTAATCAATCAGCGTTGGCGTTTCTAGTGCATGGTTTATCCACAGTTCCGTGCATGGCATGCCAAGAAGTCGCGGTAACAGACTGTTTCATTGGCATATCCCTCACTTCAACCAAAACGCCGGTAATATAACAACTCTTCCAAATCCTAGTGTAGTAAAGGCAAGTTAAACGAAATTTTGACCTATAAAAAACGAAACGAAATAGGACCCGTGTTTTAATCAGATTGAACAAGAGTGATTAAAAACCTAATTTACGTGATTACCTCGTGCTTTCGCTATTGTCGGATGGGGGTGGATGTCATTGAGTCAACTTGCGTGGTTTTGATTCCCCGGTTGTACGTGACAAGGCGTAGGGTCGCCTGCCCAACCTCGTGTGTTTTCTCAGGGTCATCCAGTTTCTATCCCACTGCTAAAGACCCCAACGCACAAGCGAATTATTGAAATAAAATTGAACCATTAGGTTAGTCCCGAAATCACCTAGTTTGTGTCGAGTGGACATTAACCCCATCTCTCTCTCTCTCTCTCTCTCTCTCTCCATTTTAATATCCTTGACATCAGCCGACAGCATGTAGAAACTAGTCATATATGTCACATATCCTAACAGTATATTATAACACCACAAATCAATAGACAAGTCATTATAACTTTCAAAATGCTTCGATTTTTATTTACTGCCCAGTCCTATCCCAAACGTGACGATGCTGACACGCGGCTTCTACTTAATGTTATCTGTAACCAGTTTTCTTCGAAAGAATTGCCACGTGGTCCCACTCGGCAACCCACCTCTATTACTCAATATTTCAAGTTTTTCCATTCATCGCCAACAAAATATTCCGTACATATACGCACAATGTATCGTATCCATTTGAATTGCTGCCTATTATGTGCTATTAATAGACACTTTTAACTTATTTACCGTAATGAAACTACGTCATTTTGACTCCCTAGAAATCCCCATTTCGCTGTCGCACGGAAATCATCGTTTACCATATAAGGCATTGCTTACTACGAAACGTAAAATGGTTGATTTTGGCACGAATTATGTGTAAATGGACACGTAGGTCAATAACAGGCATGATAATAAACGGAAGTGGGCTATGCATTTTTACGAGTGATTTAACTATACCAATGTAATTTTAAAATACCATTTTATAAAGAAGAAAACGACGTTTGGGTATCATAAACTATGCCTTGGGTGGCCGTCCTGTACTGGTTCTGTGACAAAGCGTCGGTCCTTTAAAGGTGAACCGAGGCATTCCGATTGAATTCACACCTTCGAAATTAATACAGTCATGAAAGAGTATGAAGCTACCGACAAAGGAAGGATCTCAAAAATTAGTGACATAAAAACATGAAAGATTTCGAAGACCCCACGAATCCATTGACGTCGTCTCAGCGCCGGATTAATCATGGTGATGGCGCTGGGGCCTTGAGCATGCCCCCCCCCCCCCAATCTAACAGAGAGAGAGAGAGAGAGAGAGAGAGAGAGAGAGAGAGAGAGAGAGAGGGGGGGGGGGGTAACGTCCACTCGACACAAACTACTAAGTCATTCCGGTACTAACAAATGGTTTTTAATTTTTATCTCAATGATTCGCTTGCGCGTAGGGGTCTGGGAGAAAACCGTAGGACCCGGAGAAAACCCACGAGGTTGGACAGGCGACCCTTCTCCTTGTCACGTACAACCGGGGAATCGAAACCACGCCAGTTGACTCAATGACAGACCTCATGATACAACCCGCACATGCGCTAACCATTCGGGCATCCACCCCCCACCCTCGTACCTGTAAACCACCCCAGTTATTGTTTTACTGACCTTAATATAAAGGCTGTTGACCACTTATACCCACTGGTCCAATTACAATCTTTATTTTTATAGAAACGACGACGACCTGAAAAAAACAATTGAATGGGGTTTAAAGTCCTGTTTACACAATACTTTGGTTATTTTGAGACTATCATGCAACTATACATCATACCTATAATTTGAAGTCGGTCAGTGAAAATAACGAGGAAACTTTGATGCGTAGAGTCATATATCTATCTGCCAAGGCCGTAACGTTTCAACTGTCTATATGAATAGTATAGCGTCGATAGGTCCCTATAAGAGTTCAATGATCAATTGAGGAACACTCTTCTTTTCTTGTCTATGGTGAATTTTTTGCGATGGTTTATTCGACATTTAAAGTGCGCAGTATATCACTCTTAAAGGCCAGTCGCACCAAATACACGAGCCTGTCCTGACCCGTCATAGACTAATTCTTGATTAGTTTCAATTTGGAGACAGTGATCTCTCCCCCCGAACAGTTTGATATCATCATGGTTGACAGTTTAACGTTGGAGAATGTATCTTGAATGCCCATTTTCAACAATAGTCTGTAGAATGCATGCTCCGATTTCTACTCATCCAGATCAGAATTCATCAAAATATGACGAAACTGGATCATCTCGTTGGCAATGTCGGGAGTAACATCGTCGACATATTTCTGTGTACATTTGTCAAATGATATGTTAATGTCGCTCGGTTCTAAGCAAATCCCAACTTAACCGGAGTGGGGTCCTGGGCCTGGCTAGAATCGCGGGGCCCCCAACGCGACGAAAAAAGTATTTCATATCCCTTTGAATATCTCAGTGTCCGCCCTTGCGCCGCTAGATCGATTAACGTTAAAGGGACAATAACACTCTTGCTGGCTTGACAGCTCCAGAAAATAAAAAATAGCCGTATTCTAAGTACTAGATGTGTTAGTGTCCTACCTGTTGTGTAAATTATCCATTAAATCCTATTTTACTTGTCCAGAGGGTTCAAAAATATTTTTAAATCCAAGTCACATTTGAAAAGCTTTACGTCAGGCTTTTCAAATCATTTAGTTGAATTTTTCCAATTTTTTAAATTAGGTGTGTTAAGATGAAATTTGTATCATCAATTAATTGAAATATTGTAAAATAGTACAATTTGTTGACCAGAATAAAGATTGGGACATATTATTCAGTTACAACAAGAGTGGTATTGAGCCTTAAACTTTCATCTGGGATTTGATTTTTTTCTCGTTTTGCTATGAACCGCGGGGCCCTGAGCCTGGGCCCCTCAGGCCCATGCCGAAGCTGGACTTTGGTTCTAAGTCGTTGATTTTTCGAATGAAACCAAATAATCCAGCAATTTCTATATAAGCAGACGCTCGTCTATAATGTAACTCAGAACACAGCCTATCCAGCACCACCAAGAAACCATCGACACGAAAAGTCCGTTTTGGGTCGAGCTCAGCTTCCGGGGTGTGTCCGTAATCGAGTAGCTGTGTGGCCGTACATTCCGCTAACGCTTACAGGTGACAAGTCATCGACCCCGAAAACATCACGTTACCTTGATTTTACCCCCTAAACCGACCTATATCCGCTAAAGTGGATATAATCCATTTTCTTGATACACTTATCCCGCTAAATAAACAAAAAAAAGGAACACGTACACGGATACCGAATTCTCGAATGTCAACCGCATCACGGGTTCACCATGGATTGAAGGGGCTCCAATGTCCAGGCATCGCCCGATAATACCGAATTCTCAGATGTCAACGGCATCACGGGCCTACCATGGATTGAAGGGGCCCCAATGTCCAAGCATCGCTGGACAATAGCGAATTCTCGGATGTTAATTGAAGGGGTCCCAATGTCCAGGACTCCGGAAATCCAATGGAGGACCCCCATCACTACCACTAGCAGATGGAATCTTTGGTCTACAACATGCTCACATCGCTTTTTGCGCAACTGATATTTTTTAATTTTTATTTTTGGGGGGGGGGGGGTCGTGTTGGGGCCCTGCGGCCCTGGAACCCACCGTGTCCCGTGGTTAATCCGGCGCTGATTCATCTTATCTACAGTCTCCCTAGAGTAATGGGTCCTATTAGACATGGGCATCTACTAACTCGGCCAGTCTAATATGGTCATTGGGCGAGAACAAGAGAGAGAGAGAGAGAGAGAGAGAGAGAGAGAGAGAGATGGGGTTTAACGTCCACTCGACACAAACTAGGTCATTTCGGGACCCGGAGAAAACCCACGAGGTCGGACTGGCGACCCTACTCCTTGTCACGTACGACCGGGGAATCGAAATCACGCCAGTTGACTCAATGACAGACTTTATGGTACAGCACGCACGTGCTAACCACTCAGCCATCAAACCTCCCGGTCGAGAACAAAATTCACTATATTACACCATTCCATTTAACGTAACTATCAAACGGCAATAACAATGAATGAACGTTTGAATGACGTGTTTTCAGTTTCTCGTGAATCGTTACATTAAAGGAGCTAACCCTCTAACATATTCCACAAAAAAAAACACGATTTAAATTCACCATTGATCAATCTAAATCAATATTTGATATTTTTTAATTTTTTTTTAATTTTTATTTTGCTGTGAAAATATGGGATCCTAATCTTCAATATTTAAAACATAATGAACATTTTAAAATCAATACACGATTCGTGTATTAATATTATTTCTGGCGTGAACTAAGAAAAACATATCCTACACGACAATGTAGAAGTAATTAGTAATTTGATAATTCACAAACGACAAAATATTAATAGTAATAAAAACCGCGCAGCAAGCATAAATGGTTAGAAATTACAATTTAAAAAATCATATTTTAGTCCCGATATGACTTAGTTTGTGTCGTGTGCCCCCCCCCCCCCCCTCTCTCATTCACATGCTGTTTCATGTAATAAGGCCCCGAGCCACTCATCCTTTAATGTACTTATTGACATTAAATTCGTCCATTTGGCTTTCAAACGGCAATAAAAATTACGAAAGCTTTTATATTAATGTTTTTAAAAAAAAGTAAATAAAAAATTGCGTTTTCTAAAAGTTATCTAAACGACGCAATAAAAAAAATAACAACAATGTGTATCTTTAAAAAATAAATAGATAAACCATTGCGGTTTTTAAGAGTTATGATGGCGCAAAAAAAAAAAAAAACCCAAACAAATAAATAAAATAAAATGCCCTTTTGTATCTTTATGATCTTCAGTTTTTCCTTCTAAATTAACCTACCTTATTATTTCCCTTACTGAATAACTGAAATAATATCCTTTCCATATTGCGGCTTTTCATCGCTGCTGCGGGCCATTTCTCAACGCTTGCATTAAAAAAATACGATTGTTTACGATTGCCAATTGGAATTTTATATCACCATATATTCAAATTTTTAACCCACACACAAAAGAGATACCGCGTCGCGAGTCTGCGTTCACACGCAACGTGTCAGAAAAACATCATAAATAGGCTAATTAGTTATATATTATAAATCCTCATGCGGCATATTCAATTAACGAGTGACTATTATTCTTTTAAAAATACCGCAGTGCTTATTAAAATTAACAACTGTGATGAAATTCATCTGATGACGATACAGTGTCTTAATATTTGGTAAAGTGAAAGCGTAAAACACACTGAATATAGTAATTTACATACCAATAATGAAATTCCGGAGAATTATTGCCGTATTGATTTTTCTCTAACTCCGGTGGCGACGCATCTCTCAGCGCTGTCAGTGTAATTGTAATATTCGTTCGATGATATTCTAAAAAGAAGATATACACAGAGTTACCTCCCTTGAGTGTCGATTATCTCCCTTACAGGAACTACGATTGTTTATTTTGGATGGAAAAATAGTAGAATGCAATGGGTGGATTGTTTTTTCGTTGCTTTCATGATATCAGACACAGCCCATACATTAACTTTAGCTGGTAGGTCATCTATGACATCATACATGACGTTTGTAAGTCATAAACTGAATAATTGACCAACATCACCGTTGTGAAATCAGCTTCTAATAATAAACCCTGACTACTGTCTGATTCATCGTAAATTTTAAACGGATTTCTTCGATTATGAACAAACTACTTAACGTTGGTTATTATAAACTTACCTGTGTGTTTGTAATGAACTCCCGTTCGATAAAATCCATTGCACAACTAATTATCACAACGATGAAAACAAGTTCTCTCTTGAAAAATTGAAATATCACAAACTTTTCCCAGAGAAAAATACCAATATGGAAGATGGTTACGTCACTCTGCGGAAGATATCATTTTGTTTTAGGGTTGACAGCATAGGAAATTCAAGTACAATTACGACAAGAATCCATGACCACTCGGACCAAAGATCACTCGGTTCAAGACCAGTCGGACCAAGTGATAGACCACTCAGCCCAAACAAATAGACTACTCGGACCATACAAAAAGACTATTCGGACCCAACAGAAAGACGACTCGGACCAATAATAAAATGTTGTTTTAATAAATTGATAATTGCGTTTGTTTTAATATAATTACTCGAACCAATAATACAGTGTTATTTTAATAAATTGATAATTGTGTTTATTTTAATATGACTACTCGAACCAATAATAAAGTGTTATTTGAATAAATTGATAATTGTGTGTGTTTTAATATGACTACTCGAACTAATAATAACGTGTTGTTTGAATAAATTGATAATTGTATTCCAAATCGCAAAATATCGAGAACCACACTTGTAGTCACGTTTAAAAAGGGGCATATAAACGTCCGGTCTTCGTATTATTATGTGCTGTTTATATTAACGCATCAAGGGCGGATAACTTGAAAACGTGTCTCCCCCGCCCCCCATATATAGTAACCCAGGGGTTAGTGGGGTAGAACGGAATGAAACCACTGGGGATACCGCGCATGTGGAAAAAGTAAAATTAGGCTATCAGACAAGAACAGTATACCCGTATATGTAGAAACTGCCAAAAGTCTGGACATACCGAGTCTCATTGCAAGAGTAAATAAGAAAAATTAGATTGATATTTTTTTTTGGCACCATTATTAATTAATTTTAAAACTAATTGTTGATTTATTTACGTACACAAAATTGAACCAAACAACTCTAAATATAAGAATTCTGTATAAGAATTATTTGCTTCTTTGTATTGTGATTTAATAATAAATAAATAGCATATTGTCTAGCCTTATAATATAATTTAATTGGTCCGACTGGTCTTGTTTTGGTCCGACTGGTCTTAGTCCGAGTAGTCTTTGGTCCGAGTGGTCTGGATACCTGCGACAATTGGCATTGAGTTTGAGCGTTCGCACACATAACTACCCGCATTCCTGTATTTAGTTACCGTCTTTTACATTCTAGTAAAATCTCTGCAAATTTTATAGCTTTACTTTTTGAAATATTTTGTTCTAAGTATTTGATTAGCGACTCGGATGGGATTATTTACTTTTGAACACGCATGCCGCACAAACACAACTATACATTCGTTTTACGGGCTTTATCACACTTCGGTCAAAACTGTCGAATCGAGAATTAATGTTCCGCTTCTTACGGGGTCATACGGGCTTAGTAGCATTATATACCCACCCATTAGACACGCTGAGGGCTGCCGCAACACGCTTAAAGATGTTACTGAAGCGGTTATTATTCGATCGAAAGAATGCGTATAAAATTAAAAATACACTCAGAGAATTCGGAGGTAAGCTTCATGATCCTTGTTAAATTATTTATAACATAAAGAAGATAGGATATTTATAGTTTATACATGACTTTATTTTTACGAGTATCCGTGCAATCAGTGATATTTTAATTGTGAAGAAAATTTGATAGACTGGCGATCAATGGTTTCCATATAAATCTCCTATGTAATTGCCTTCAATTGATATTTTTCGTCGCCCAAACCCATATACGATCAAAATGATCGCGCTGTCAAAATATCTTTCAATGTTAACCAACCCCCGCAACAGGTATATTGGATTCGACCAATACGTCACGAAGACATTGTTGACATCGACTCTGTCGAAATTACAAGTAAATTTTCAAATTTTTCAAAAGAGAAATTGTTCTCATCGTTGTGATAATTAGTTGTGCAATGGATTTTATCGAACGGGAGTTCATTACAAACACACAGGTAAGTTTATAATAACCAAAGTTAAGTAGTTTGTTCATAATAGAAGAAATCCGTTTAAAATTTACGATGAATCAGACAGTAAAGTGACTTGGCTTTCGTGTTGCACTTGCAGTTCAGCAGTTCATTGATGAAAAATATAAATATTATAATGACATCATGTTATAGATGGGTGCAGGCATTTTTGGCTGATGTGACTACTACCCTAACTCGAACCCATAATCCACATACAAACTTAAGAAAAAGTAGTCAGATCAACCAACCGTGCCCAGTTCATTCCTTAAAGGAGCTAAATCGCTAACATTTGTGATTGGGACCTAGAAATACAGATCTATATTTCGTTTCATTTTTTATACTTTCGATGGCTTACACTACATGAAGATCTGACCGGTTGTAGCAATAGGTCATGTCAGAGGTCATATGAGCTGCTTTTTGACCCTATGACGTCAGACATTTGATTAACCAATCAGCATTGATGTTGCTAGTGGTTTACCCACAGCTTTGTGCATGGCAACCAAAAAATCGCCGTAACAGACTGTTTCATTGGCTAATCCCTCACATAAATCAGAACACGTCAATGATAACAACTCTTCCAGATCCTAGTGTAGTAAAGACAAGTAAAACGAAATTTTGAACTATAAAAAACGAAACGAAATAGGATCTGTGTTTTAACTAGATTGTAATTCATCATGAATCGCTAATAATTTTTATTTTGACCTCTGCAGAAGAATCGAGCACTCTGTCAGCTGTTACCATATCAACCATTTCTCTGGCTAGTTCGACAGACGTCAACTCTAATCATTCATCGAAACAGAATGATATAGATCCGTTAGAATTATGTCCGACCAATGCTCCGTGTGACAGTTTAGGAGGAGACTGTATCACCTGTCCTAATATAGATAAAAACCATTCATGCACCTATGGAACAATTGTGGAAACGGAATGCATGCCTAAAAAAGAAATAAACTGCACGGTAAGTACATGTCTTGGCATTTGGCTAATCTCTACACGTACTGGTCAAAAAATGATTTAAGTTATAGATGGCATGTTTCGGATGTGGGATCATTGGGTAAGTGGCATGTTTACTCTGTTTAGGGGGTGGGACCATTGGGCCCTAGTTCCTAGCTTTGAGCAGTCAAAAAGTTTGTTTAAGCCACACCTTACAATTGACTTTTAATCACTCCAAATAATTTTTTCTGGGTGCAGGTATGGAAATACCTTGGATAAACCCTTTGCCCCCCCCCCCCTTTGAATAAACACTTTGGTCTCCAATGGATAAATATTTTGGTTCCCCTTGGATAAATCAATAATACCCCTCGAATAAACCTTTTGGTTCCCTTTGGATAAACCCTTTGGTTCCCCTTGAATAAACCCTTTGGTTCCCTTTGGATAAACCCTTTGGTTCCCCTTGAATAAACCCTTTGGTTCCCCTTGGATAAACCATTAATCTCCTTTGAATAAACCCTTTGATCGCCCTTGGATTAACCCTATAAGAGAGTTTTGTTATATTTTTCAGGGTAATAAAAGTTTTCTACGAAATGTGATATGTAAATATTGTTACCAGTTACCTGAGTGGGATTATAAATGTAATCAATCAACATCGTGTATGATATCTACATCACGAGAATATTACCCTCCACAATCTAGATTTATATCATTATGTACAACTAACAGTCATATACTCTGTTTAGGTAAGTTGGGTCACGTGTGGGGCAATAGTTGACATATACTCGGTTTAGGTAAGTTGGGGCACGTGTATGAGGTAGGGGTGGGGCAATAGTTGACATATACTCGGTTTAAGTAAGTTGGGGTGGGTGGGTGGGGGCAATCTGAAATACAATTGAGCCATATGTTAGTCCTGAAATCGAAAATGACCTAGTTGTGTCGAGTGGAAGTTAAACTCCATTTCTCTCTTGCAATAAATCTCTAGGCTGCCCCCCCCACCACACCACCAACCCGACATGTTAGTCTCAACATGACCTAGAGGTGTTGAGTAGAAGTTAAACCCAATTTCTTTCTCACATTAAACCTCTAAAAGCCCCCACAACCGTCAACCCACCTTGACATAAGTCTTTGTCTATTGCATACAGCTATAGTTACAGTTTGGAATTGTGATACATGTTAGTCTCAAAATAACCAAAGTATTGTGTAAACAGGACTTTAAACCCCATTCATTTGTTTTTTTCAGGTCGTCGTCGTTTCTATAAAAATAAAGATTGTAATTGGACCAGTGGGTATAAGTGGTCAACAGCCTTTATATTAAGGTCAGTAAAACAATAACTGGGGTGGTTTACAGGTACGAGGGTGGGGGGTGGATGCCCGAATGGTTAGTGCATGTGCGGGTTGTATCATGAGGTCTGTCATTGAGTCAACGGGCGTGGTTTTGATTCCCTGGTTGTACGTGACAAGGAGTAGGGTGGCCTGTCCATCCTCGTGGGTTTTCTCTGCGTCCTCCGGTTTCCTCCAACTGCTAAAGACCCCTATGCGCAAGTGAATTATTGAAATAAAATTGAACCATATATTTTTTTATGTTAGTTCAGAAATAACCTGGTTTGTGTCATGTGGACAAGTGGACCCCTTCTCTCTCTCTCTCTCTGGGGTTTAACGTCCACTCGACACAAACTAGGTCATTTCGGGACTAACAAATGGTTTAATTTTATTTCAATAATTCACTTGCG